CACCTCCTCCACATTGTGCGCAGTCCGGGCCGACGTCTCCAGGAATATGAGCCCGTGCTCCTTGGCAAACTGCTCCCCCTCCTCGGTCGACACCGCGCGACGGTGCTGAGACAAGGGACGAAATTGCGGAGGTGGGCGGCGTCACGCACATGGGCAGCCTGGAGAGCCGCAGCTGGTGCCGTGCCGCAGTCGGGGGCGCACTGTCGCGCAACGTGCGGCGCTGCCGCCGTGGCGAAGCGGACCCGTTGCGCCGGGGCGTGTCTTATGGGTTGTGGTGCCCAGTGCGCTGTCGCTGCAAGATGCTGCGCGCTAAGTGGTGACGCGCCCGCGCCTCACCGAGAGGTCGCTCTTGTTGCCGATGAGCATTATGGTCATGTTGGGGTTGGCGTGCTGCCGCGCGTCCTCCAGCCAGCTGGCCAGATGGTTGAATGTCTCCCGCCTGGCGCGCGGTCCGAGGGGCGTGCGCGGGGCGCCTGGTGAGAGGCGGGCTGAGGGGCCCGGCGCGTTCGGGGACGCTCCAGCCGCAGGCCCGTGTTGCATGCTCGTACAAGTGTTCTTTCCATTGCCCGCATTTCGACAGTTTGCGAGCCAGGCGCATCCACTTTGATACTGGCCTTTAGCCGAAACGGTGCCTCTGCCGCACGATTCGCGTGCGAGCGCGCACGCCAACAGCAGCAGCGCCCGCCACCGCCTTGCGGACGTTTTCAACCAGTCTCCACTCCCACGGCGCCGGCGCGCGGTTGCAAACTGCGACGCGCCCGTCCCCGACTCGGGCACGGCTGCGCGGCTGCGTGGCTGCGCTGCTGCGCCAGTGGACGGCAGCTCCACAAACAGCGCAAGACGCCACAGACCCGCTCTCCAGTGGCGCCGGCTGCCAGAGCTGCCCCGTCGCTGCCGTCCGCTCACCGCGTGATGTCATACACCAGCAGCGCGCCCGCAGCTCCCCGGTAGTATGACCGCGTAATGGACCGGAACGACTCCTGGCCCGCCTGTTGGGATTAAGGGCAGCGATGGCAGGCGAGGGCGTGCGCGGTGAGCCGCGAGAGGCGCTGGCCGCCGCATCATCAGCAGGGGGCATGGCGCCCTGCTGGAGCGGCGCGGGCTGCTTTTCGGCCCCCTGTGATGCCAGCAGAGACAAACATAAAACCTGTGCTGCATGCAGCTTGCCGGTTTGAGAGAGCCGCTTCAATGACAAGCCAGCGCACGCCCCGCATGGGGCTGCGTTGTTGCCGCTTGTGCGCCAGGGCTGCTCCTCTGGCCCATCACTGCGCCTGGTGTCCTGCAGGCCACGGCCTCGCGATGCTAGCAACAGAGAGTCATTGTCATGCGCACCGTGTCCCAGATCTGCAGCTTGATTTGCTTCTGGTCGATGTTGATCATGCGCGCGCCGAACTCGACGCCGATCGTGAGGTCGTGCACCGGCTGAAAGCGCTTGTCTGTGAACTGCAGCAGGAGGCATGACTTGCCCACGCCTGCGAAAAGCGCGTTCAAGGCCCGGTTGCAGCGCTCAGCAAGGATGAGGATGCCCCGACTTCCGGGTGCACCTGGAGGAGGTGCTGTCGCCGTGCAACGTCCTCGCCTTGCCTCTCATCGCGAGCTCGCGCGCACCTGTGTCCCCTATGATGATGTACTTGAACAGGTACCTGCGAGGTGCATGCGAGACAGCCTGGTGAATGTGCTGCAAGCCTGCAACAGAAAGCCCATGCCCCTCTGCTTACGCGTAGCTCATCCTTGTCCCCCAGCCAAATTTTGTTGGGTGGTTCAAGCTACTCCGCTGTTCTCTGGCGCGTCCCCTAATGGACGGTCTTCAAAGAGTTGCACTGCCTCGAGCGAGAAGGGTGCACAAGGGACGGCAGATGACACGTATTAGACAGCTTCTGCTTGGTGGCACCAACGTACATGCATGCTTGATCCAAGGACACAGGCAACGGGCAGCAGCTGCTCGCCAGCTGGATTGATGGTGCACCTGGATGCACGCCCCCCCTTTCGCATTCCCTCTGGCTGCGCCCGCTGTATGAGCCACGTCCCTGCCCCGCACGACCTGTTACCTTCCCTGCCCATTCCCATCCACGCCCGGCAGCGGCCGATTCCCAAACAACTGCAACACTGGCAGCGTCAAGCCAGGTGGTGCGACTTGCCGCCCCGGGGCGGCGGCGCTCACTTTAAACGCAGACCGCTCTAAACGCAGACATCACACCTTTTGAAGGGCCCGCCGTCTGATATCGGCGCACTTGTTAACCTTCTACCAGTGGCCTCTGAAGGTGCGCCGTCGGGCATGCATGGAATCAACGTCCCAAGCTTGCTGTGCTGCAGTAGTGCAGTGCTCAGCCAGACTCAACAGTCGCACTGAACTGCGCATGCACAGGGGAGCGACTACTCGGCTGGACCAGGAAAGGTCTGGCATTGTCAGGCTTGAAGGTAAAAGATCAAGAATCCTCCCCGTTCATATCGGATTGACCACGCAATCAAGTTGGGTCCCCAATCAGTCATGGCTGGAATGCATCGGGTTGCGTGGCCTCAGTCCGTGCCCGGCACCCGCTGCACACCGGCGCCCATTGCGTGTGACAGCTGCAGCTGCAGCAAATTTGGTGCGCGCTGCCGTGCCTGTGGACAGCGCGCTAGCGTGGCCGCGCCACGGTAGTGGCGCGTGTGGGCGCCTGGATTTCCGGGGCAAAAACACGCGTGGGCCAAAGAGGAGCATGCTGGGCTTGAGCTACGCAAATGGTGTGAATAATAAGCTGTCCCACAGCAGTTGCAAGAGCCTGGAAGGTAGCCAGTGATAATGCACACTTTGCACATGCATGTCAGGGCCTGCATTGCACGTGTGGGGTGAGATTGTTGCTGCAAGCCCTGAATATATCGTTTTTATTAGAATGGACTTTTTCGCTGTTGCGACACAGTGCCAAACAATTTCAGCTTTACATCACAGGATGGTGATGAGGTGCCCAGCCGTTGGCGCGCGCGGGCTGCTGTGCAGCGGGGCACGCATCCACATGCCCTGTGGCAGGCTAACGAATGTCGCACACACGCGGCGAGCCGGGGGCACCACCAGGCCCTTAGGCTGCGACACCAGTCAGTCAAGCGAGCACCATTAGTGTACATGGGATGGGATTAGACCCAGCTCCCGTCCCGGCGTACCTTATGGCCTGGCCCGGGCTGAGGGGGCCCCTCAATTTCAGTGCGGCCCCCTCCACCCATTCCCCTGGGCCATGAGCGCGCATGCCCGGCCATCAAGCCAGAGGCAGCCCAGAGGCGCTTGTCCACCTTCAGTGGGCTGTCCACAGTGTGGTTTCGGTGTTATCGTTCCCACGCACTAAAGGGAAGATCCTGTGGAATTCTTCTTCTGATATGTGTGTTGCTGTAGCTGTGCCCCCGTAGGCGGCCTTCCGTTCGGTGTAGTCAGATTACTTCCTGACCATGCACGGAACAGCCATGGGGTGCATACACAGGCACAAAAGTCGGTCGTCAACAGACCGGGCTTGCTTTGCAGTTCCCACTGTGTGCGCCAACTGCTGCACCGCATGCATGTGAGGGTGGAGCACTTTCGAGAGTGAAGAAGTGGTTGCTGAAGCATAGAGATGCATTTATGGGGACTCTTGGCACAGAACATGGGGGTGAGAAACTGCAGCCCGTTGGCGTCAGCAAAAAGTACGCCAGGTGCACCACGACACCATGGCACCAGCTGAAGTCAGCTCGGGTGCCTTGTGAATGACACCGCGCACACATTATCTAGCCTTGACACTTGGTCAAAGCGCTAGTGCGATCGCAGTCTAGGCTGTCCGGGTATGAGTCGATTTCCAGACCCTGTCCCGCACACACCCAGTGACCCGCATCCAGACCTGGCCTAGTCAGCTTGCATGGCAGCCAGAATTATGCATGATAACATCCAGGAAGTCTCTGCTTGCACCGTGGCCTCTCAGTGGCACTGCAAGCGCGAGGTTCCGGGCGTCTGTTCCTGAAGGATTAGTATGGCTCACCGCGAGAAGTGCGCCTTGAACACTTGAAGCCGGGAGTGCCGCTGCGAATGCTGTGCCACACGCCCGCTGTACATTGCATTTGAGTTAAGGTGTGTAAAACGGACCTTTCGGCTCCGTGTCACCCGACTCTGGAGCGCTGAGGCCAGCTCACAGCAAAGATCGCAGCGCCGCGCTGGGACCCGAAGCCGAGCCAAGCCTTCTCAGACGTGTCGACAAGGTTGTTCGACGCGATAAAAAGCCCTGCGAGAATGGGGTGCGCACCCCGTTGGGAGCTGGCGCTGGTGACCGTGCTCGGGCTCCTCCTCGTGCACGCGGGTGAGAGACGTCGATGGACGCTCAAGCGTTGAGTTTCGGTCAATCGAGCATGGCGAGTGGGGCTGCGCGCGGCGGCGCGCGGCCTGGACTTGGCCACCGCCGCCCCGTGCGCGGTCATGTCCGGCTCTGGGTTGCGGCAACCATTCGCGCCGCCCAAACGCACTGAAACTCCACGGGTGCAGCGCGGCTACGCCACATCCTGGCTCTTGGAGGCTCATGAATGCTGATGCACACGCTGAACACCCCCTCCCCCCCTTGTGCTCGGCCGACAAAACGCTGCCTTTGCTGCAGGCGTCGCGGCTGCCGCGGCGCCCGACCTGTCAATTACAAGGTGCCAGGAACTGCTGCAGACCTTGTCCCAAAGCGACGGCGTGTACCAAGGCCTTTCATTGAATGGCGCGGTGGTGAGTGCGCAGCGGCCACCTGCGGTGCTGCACTGCGGATCCGGACGCAGTGCTCCCTCGCAAACAACTAGCAGCTGGGGGAAGGGGAGGGGGACGGCAAGCCACGGTATGCAGATGTTGCACCAGCGCACATCAACCGCAAGGGGCTGGATCAGACACCTGCTCGCCGCGCTGGCCCCCTGCTCATGGCCCCGAATGTCCTCCTCCCCAGTTCTGCCCGACCAATTCGGCCTTGGACAAGTTTGCCAAGGCCCTCAAGGCGGGAAACTCAAAAGCGTTCCTGAAGACGAAGAGGTTTGACCAGCTGCTGCGGAACGTGCTGAGCCACCACACAGTGCCGGTTACGTCAAGCGGAGGTGCGCGAACGCGACCTTGGCTTGGCCAGCGTCGTGCTCACCAGCTGCCAGCTGTACACGCATTGCTGGCAGGGGAGCTGATCCCACCACCCCTGCTCGCAGGCGCCGCTGCTTGCCGCGGCTCGCCATTGCCAATTGCCACTGCTAACACCTCGTCCGGCGCTCGCCGCGACGGCTTGCAGGTGTGGCGCTTGACGTGTCGTCGGCCTTCAACAGAACTGGCACCTACACCTACAAGGACCTCAAGGGCGGGGCCTTGGAGCTCACTGTCACCAGCCTGTCCCCTCTTACCTTGGGCGTCCTCGGGGGCCTCTCTAAGACCCTGAACCAGCTGCAGCCAGTCATGCTGGACGCGGCCCCAAGTGAGGGCGAAGAGGGCGGGGAAACGCCAGGCCACAAGCAGAAGGAGGCCGCTTCTTTGGCCCATGCCGGCCGCCAATCAGCTGCGGGGGTGCCCTTCATACCCGCGCGGCGAGCATCTTGACAATGCATGGATGCATGAAACCTTCGCATCCAACTTCAAAGGGCTGACACGCAATCAACCCAGCCCAGCCCAGCCTAGCCCATCTTATCTGCAAGGCCTGCAGTCACGCATAGGAAGCTCACACGTACACATCAGCACACGCCAGCACACAACCTGATGTACCTGAACACTCACCCCCCTCTGTACGCCTTGTTCTACCCCCATCTCAGCCGTCCGAAGTTTCGGCCTCGACCTCTCAGTGGTTGTCTATGCCGTCGACACAGTGCTGATGCCGCTCAACACCTATTTGAGCGTTGACGCGGTGAGGGGACGAACCGCCTACAGACATGGGTGCTGCTGGCCCTGTGCCCCTGGGTTCTTGTATGCCGCTCTGCCGGCGGCACTGCGCCGCATGTGCGGCCCAGGCACCTACAGATTACTGTCTGGCGGCCCCCGCCAGGCCGTGGGTCAGGCGCGTCGTAGCTACAGCAGCCAGGGCCACGGGGGCGCCCAGCCACAGACAACACCTCGAGCCTCGACCCCGACTTTTGCCCTGACCGCACATTTGCCCCTGTCCCCCTCTCGCTCTTGGCAGGCGCTTGCTGCCCTTCCCGAGCTCACGTACGTGGTGAGCATTAAACAGGGCCGCTTGGTGGCGCATGTGCTGGGCCATACGACTAGACTCACGCTCACGTGCAGTCCTGAACCCCACCCACACTTGTCATGCAAACCTTGTGCGTGTGTGCCCTGCGCGCCCCATGCACCCCTCCCGTGCCCGTGCTTGTGCCCGTCCAAGACGGCCCCCGGGTTGTGAGTCTTAGCAGCCACCTTACAGACACTCCAGGGTGCCCTGTTGGACCCACGTCTGCCTCCGTCCGCACACAACTCTCCGCCAGACCCAATACCTCAAGCCGTTGCGAGGCCTTTTCAGCAAGAAAGAGTGCACCTTGCTGCTGCCTGTGGATCTGGCCTGGGAGGCCCTGCTGCCGTTTGACTCGTGCTCGTGGTCGTGGTATGTCGGCACAAACAGCATCAAGGACGATGCCGCGCTGAGGAAACGCATCATGGCGGTGGGTCGCGTTTGTTGTTGTATTGTGGTGTGTGTATGTGTTTGTGTGATGTGTGGAGTGAGTGTGCTGTGTAGCAAGGGGTGGTCAAAAGTGGGGGTTGTGGAGGCCTACAGTGCCACATGCGCATTGCTCGTTAACAGGCCTGCGCCGAGCAAGGGGGCGACCCATATTGATGGTGCTTGGCTGATTTGGGGGGATGCTTTGCCCCCCGCCCTATGGCACCACTCACACGTGCGTCCTCTCGGCGCTTTGCGGTTTCTCCTGCAGTACCATATCTACACGGGCTACGCTGACACCGTCAAAAACATGATGGGCTATTCGGTGAGTTCAGTGCCCCTTGCCGGTGGCTTGTTGGTTGTAGGCACCGCCTCAGTGCCGCCCGAAGCATGCACGCCCGTGCCACCCACCCCTGACCTGCCGCGCAGCACCCAACTACGCCCACGCCACGCCATGCACGGTTGTGTGATTCAAGCCGGCCCTTTGCTTACGCCCCCGGCCGCCTCGCTCGGACCGCAGGCGTTCACTGAGCTGAGGGCTGGCACGTGGTACGACAAGCGGCCTGATGGATCAGTCATCAAGCGGACCCAAGAGCCCGCCTACCTAGAGTGAGCCCCCGCCCTCTCCTCAGGATGTGATACACATGCACACGTTCGCGCGCGGCCCGACGCCCATGCTGCTGCCTGTCTCCGCCCGCCTTCACGGCCCGCTGCTCCCCCTCGCCACCGCTGCGCGCAGCTATGCGGCTGACGGGAAGACGGAAGTTGCTTACGGCTACCGTAATTGGTGCGCGGCTTGGCCTGCCTCGCTGGGTTTCAGGGGATGTGTCCTTCAACTCACTTCAAACGGCGTTCAAGTTGGATTTGCACGCGGCACTGGCATGTGCAAGCTCATGCGGGTTGGCAACACGCACCCTGTTCCTGCCATATGTTTGACCTGGGCAGAGGATTCACAACGTCCACACCTTTGCTGACCGTCCCAATCCACGCAGGTTCTGGTTCTTGAATGGTTTCAACATCACCGGTGTTGATGTCAACAACGGAGCCTACCCGCTGCCGCCCAGCCCCTTCAGCGACATCCCTGTTTCGCCGATCCACCCTATCATTCGCAACATCTATGCGGGTTCCTGCATCATCCACGCCATCACTGGCCGCCCTATGGTGCCGTGGACGGTAAGTTGGGAGGCGAGCGGCTGCCGCGCTGTCAGCTGGCGCAGTGGCACACACACTGGGGCTGAATGCATCTATCGCTGCTAGTTACCTAGGCTTTGCGTAGGTGCAGCATGCTATCATGCAAGAATGTGTCAAGCCTGCAAGCGCAAGACATCAAGGCTCCCTCCAATCGTGTCCCTGAAACCCCACAGGTCGGAATCAGCAAGTACGACACAGAGCAGCCCTCCTCGAACCAGCAGCAGCAGTGCTCCGGCCTCGGTGGCCTCTTGGGGGGCGGCAGCTTCGTCGCCCCCGCAGGCAACAGCCGCAGCGGGTTCAACCGCGGCGGGGTCGGCAGCAAGTCGAGCCGCGGCGGCTCTCGCGGGTACGACTAGGCCCGCGGCTCGCGGCCCGGCCGGCCCGCGCGGCTCTGCCCCTCGCAGTGAGCAGCGGGATGGCCAGTCGGGATGGCCATGCCGCCCCTCACATGCGGCGGCCAGCGCGCGAGCGGCACTGCGCGATGTGCCGGGCCCCACCAGATGCACATCCCAAGGTCCCCACTTGCTGCAGCGCCGGCGGCCGCTCGGCTGGAGGGATGGCCGCCACCGCGCCCCGTGCAGAGGGGAGCGAAGCGCTGTCATTTGAACGCAACTTTCCAATCCAGATTCCACAATACACTTCAATCATAGTCTAGGTACAAGGACCCATGCTGCCCAACGCCCTACTGCCACTGCCTGTGTTGGCGAGGCTTGCAGGGTGCACCCCACAATACACTTTCGCACACTCACCCGCCTTCAAACAGCCCAGTTTTGTTTGGGCAACGTCACTCTCCCGTGGCGCCGCGCGCGCCAGATGGCGCCTGCCTGCGCGTCAGCACCAACAATGCACGCATCCATATAAGCAGCCAGCGACAGGTCCTTTGCAGCCTTCCCACTTCGGCTGCTTTTGCCAATGCATTGCACGAGGTCACCTGCATGGGTGATTCACCCTCGTTTGACCGCGGTCAACTCTCTGGGTCTGGCCTTCAAAACTCTGCATCACACCAGCATTGTCAGTCGTCCTTGCATGCCGCGGTGCGGCGCGAGACGGCCTGATTGTATGACAGCAGCTGAGCTGCCGCCTGTTGCGGCGCCCTCGTGAGCACGTCGCGACACGCCTCAACGGCGTCGCTCGAATGGTTCTGGGGCCCCACGCAGCCGGCATCCGCCCTCATGTTGGCGTGAATACAGCGAAAGCTGAGCTGCAAACTTTATGCCGACACACAACGGGTGAAGAGAACAAAATCATATGATGCGCGGTCACTCCGGACATGATGCCCGAGGTGACAGCGGCCAAACAAGGCGCGCGCAGTGGCCATGTTGGCCCGCACGAGCCCTTCAGGACGGCTTCTCATGCTTGCGGCTTCCCTTCACCAGGCCCAGCACAGCATCCGCCCAGGCCTTCTGCCAGTGTGTGATGCTTGTACCTGAATGGTTCGTCAACCCTCCGAGGTGGGTCGCTCCCCTTACTCCGCCGCCTGGCTGCACCTTGCACGCCGGCCGCACCTTTCGCCCGTGGCGGAGTACATGTCTCTCCCAACATTGCAGGCTCGCAGCAGCCACTTCGGTCAATACCTGCTCTGTTTCGGCAAATTGTAATAAAGCCTTGCACTTTTTGGTCACCAAGTGCATGCCGCAGCCGACCCGTCTGCGCAAACCCTTATGACATCAAGCAACCGGGGCAAGGGGGGGAGGCAGATTCACTTTTGCCGACACAAAAGCCTGGCAACCATTACCGATGAAGAGCAGTACCCCGCAGCATTGAATCAGAAGTGGCAGCAATACAACTCCTGCATCGCTGGTGTAGTTGTAAGCAGTGGGGAGCGCCAGGTCGCCTCTGCGCCAGTAACACACTCTGTTACAGATGCCCAAATCTTGAGCCAATTTGAGCGCCCTCTGTGCCAAGTGTGTTGATAAAATTGCACGCACACGTGCAAGTCACCGCATGGCCGCCAAATAGCTGCAAACATCCGAACGCACAGTGACCGCACCTTGGCAGGGAGCTGTCACTGGCCCCGGCATCAGTGATCCGCTGCAGTGCATGCGGCTCACTCGCACGCGCCCTCAAGGCGCACTCGGCTTGAAGGCCCGCGGCGACACACAGCCAACGCCACCACATTGGATTGGACTGACACCAGCAACAGCTCAAGTCAGATTTGTCAGAGAACCCCAGCAGGGTAGCCAGGAGCGTGCCGTGGGTGAACATGCAGCAACAGGTGTACGACAGGGCCCCTGGGTGCGTCCACCGGCCACGCGCAGGGCAGGCACATAGGCAAGAGCTGAGCAATGATTCGTTCTCTGGGAGCTGGAATAGACTCATTGGCTTTTGAATGGCAGGCTTCTGCCAGGGCCCGGAGTCAAGTCATTGAGCGGATCACCAAAGCTGAAAATAACCAGCCACAGCAAGGTGGGTGGTGGTCAGCCTGCCCTGAGGGCAGCTGCTGCTGAAAAATCGACTCGACAAGTCACCAAATGCGCTGGAAGGTGATTGGGCAAACGGGAGTGACAGACACCCAGCGACAGCCACACCAACGCCCAGATCACACCCCATGTTGCATGATTGGTTGAGGCCGAAGTCACTCGAAGACAAACTCAGCATCCATCACGGCCAGCGCGTCAGTGGGCAGCGACAAGAAGAGGTTCGTCCACCTACGGTAAATGGTTGCGGGTGAATGGCAGTGCGGGTGACACTGGGTGATGTCATCAATTACAAGTTGGCGGATCAGCCAGAGCAACTTGGCATCCTGCCAGCACCAAGTGAACAGCCAGCCAAGCAATGACATGCATGTGCGCCTGCCCGCATGCCTTGATTACAATCTAGAGAAGCCATCCAGACTTGGCCTCTCCTCGCGTGTATGCTTCTTCCTGCCGCGCCAGGCTGGTCTTGCCCCCTTGACTGCCAGCCCGGACCCTCCCTCCGCCAGCCTCACCAGTCGATTGAGTCGTCCACGCGCGGCACGCGCGCGACGCCCACCAGCCTGGGCCCCAGCCAGCAGCGCACGCAGCAGCGGAGGTGGGCGGACGCGCGGGTTGCTGAGGCGTGCGAGTCGAAGCTGCGGCCCGGGAGACGCTCCGGCTACAAGAGGGGCGGACCAGCGCCGGCGCAGCAAAACAGCACCCTGGACAGGCCCAGCAGAAGCCCAAAAAGTCTGATGTGCTGGCGCACGCCCCAAGGGCGCAACTGAGCAGGGGCTGCAAGCGCTTCGAGGCCGCAATCAGCCGCGCCCGCGCTCTGATGCTTCCTCCTCTGATCCTTCCAAGGTGAGCTTTTGCACTTTCGCCGCGTCCTGGCTGAAATTTCTATGTGCGTGCCGCAGTTAGGCAGGCCCGCCCCGCCCCGCACCGCGCGCCCGCCCACCTCGCGCCGCCGCCCGGCGAGAGCCGCCTGCCGTCGCCGCGGCGCAGCTCGCCCTCTGAGTGCTCTGTGGTGAGCACGGTCTCGACAATCAGCGGCGGCGCGCGGTAGAGGGAGCCTGCGCCACGCGGGAAAGGGGCAGGGTGCGGGGGTCAAGGCACGGCGGAGTAGGCTGGGGCAGGTCGAGGGGGCAGAGTTGGCGCTTTGATGCGTTTAGTGTGCCGCGGCCGCGGGCTGGATTCAGACGCGAGTATGCTGAAAGCATGAGCTCAGGGCGGCGTCGGGGCCTGGCGTGGGGCGCGCCCCGGTGCCACACTCCGCCAGTTCGTGCAAGGGGGGACGGGGGGGCTGGGGTGCCGCTGGGCACGGCGCCCGCCACCCCGTGCCGCGCGGCAGCAATTCAGCAAAACGCGAGGGCGCTTGACGCGTGACGCGGCGGAAGCGTGCGTTTGTGCGTGCGCGTGTGCGTGCGCGCGCGCGCGTGTATGTGTGTGTGTGTGTGCGTGTGTGTGTGTGTGTGCGCGTGTGTGTGCGCGTGTGTGTGTGTGCGCGCACCTGCAGTGAACTCGAACCTCGCCAGGAAGTTTAGCTCCATGATGCCGGTGCTCGTGTCGAGCGTGCCCTGAAAGACGCAGCAGCGGCGAGGTGAGGGGCGCGTTGGGCGGCACGTTGCAAGACGGGACGCGGATGCGCCCGGATTACAGCGCCGGCGTCGCTCTGCGGTACCCCTTGTTTGGCAGCGAGATGCCGGCACGGCGGAAGGCTTTGCGCCCCTTGTCCCGCCTTCGCCCCCTTCCCCACAACCCTCAAAGATGTTCGCGTTTGGAAAGCCTCAAGTGAGCGCACCTCGAAGCGCTGCGGGATGATGGCAATGTTGAGGGGCGGGGGGATCGGCACCCCGAATATGGAGGCCGTCCGCCAGTTGAGCGCCGGGATGTTGAGCTCTGGGGACGGGAGTCGTGACCAACATTCGGGGAGGGTCGTGCCGGCGGGTCGCGCGCGTATGTGCAGCCCGCCTTGTTCTGCTGGCACGCGCACACACACATTGTTCTGCTGGCGCGCGCGCGCGCGCACACACACACACACACACACACACACACACACACACACACACACACACACACACACACACACAAACAGCAGCAGCGCGCTGTACGTGTGTGTTCAGCGAGCTGCTGCTGCTGCTGCTGCTGCTGCTGCTGCTGCTGCTGCTGCTCGCCGTACAAGCCGGCTGGACATGCAGGCGCCGGCTCCTGCGCCAACCAGCTGCGCGGGTATCACGCGCGGCGTCTGGCTTTGCCGCGGAGCACGTCTGGTGCAGCCATGCCACGCGCGCGCCGCGGTCAAAAGCGGTCAAAGACGGTCAAAGGCGGTCAACTCACCGTCAGGGTCGAACGTCAGCTGCAGCCTGCCGCCCCCAAGGTCCTCCACCACGCCGCTGCCGCCGCCGTCGCCAGCATTGTACGCAAATATGGGGTACCTGGGGCAGGGCATTGATAGTTGCTGTCCGGGTGAGTTGACTTTGCGATTCCTTTGCAATGCCGTCAAAGGAGGGTTACAACGTGCCAGGGCAGGAATCAGTGGGCGGGGCACACCAGGAATGGGCTGGGCAGGGCAGGCACCCCTGACTGCCGTGCTGCGTGCACAGCGTACGCGGGAAGAGCTCACCAGGACACGGCCAGCTGGCAGGTGGGCAGCGTTTTCATGCTGACCTGGTGGGTGTGGTCGTTTGAGCCGGTGGGATTGAGGGCGCGCAAGCTCAACACGCTCGCGTTGCGCCATGGCACAGTGACGGCGCACCGGCCAGTCCACCGGCAGCCCATGCCCTCTGTGTAACCTCCCATTGGGACATGGGCAGGCATGCCAGCAGGATCCTGACCTTAGTGCTGGTAGTGCTGATGTCCAGGGCGGCCGCGGCCTGAGGCCGGAGTGCGATGCTTCCACCAGCCCGTCGTGGTCGTTGCGCCACACGCTGGAGCCGCTGCACTAGCTGCGGAGTCGCCGCGGACTGTGCCATTGGTTTATTCGAAAGCATTGCTCTCTGCTGGTCGTAGGCAACGACCCGTGATGCAGTTCGCAGCGCTTCTGGGATCTTGTGGGGACGACCGTGCAGTGCGGGTGATCGCAACGGCTTCAGCAAGAACTGGACAATCTAGTCCTTCTTCGTGGACAGAACCAAATTAAAAGCTTCAAACAGGCTCCGGCTGAGTAATCTTTGTCACCTGAGATCGCGTTTGAAAGTTTCGAACTGTCCGGTAGGTCTGAGTGTTTCTGTATCAAATCCACTTTTTGCTGATTACTTTGCTTCATACCGAACAGCCTCGGGCTGCGGTTCGTGCCTCGGACCCATTGAAATCTCGCTGAATTCGCATATAGAGCGCGGCAGCAGTCGCATGAATGGCTGCGGCGTGCCATTTCAACGCCCATAGCGAGCGCATTGCCTTGGGCCACCGCAACGTGCAGCGCCGCTCCCTGGCGATCGCCGCCATAAGCACGCCGCCGCGCGCACCCTTCCCGCGCCGCTGTCGGAACAGCATGCTGATGTTGGCCGCTGGCGACGGAGCCGCAGCAGGCCTCAGCGTGGCAGGCATACTCTCGTCGATCCAGACCGTTGCGCAGGCTGCAGCGGCCGTGTGCCTCCTCGCGGTGGCGGTGCCGCCTCTCATCTCCACCGAGGCAGGGACGCGGCTCCTCTGCACCGCCGCCAGCCGGGTGCTCCCAGGTGGGTGAAGTGACGGCCTCCCAGCACCTCGAGTGGCGGCTGCTCGATCAGCGCCGCAGCAGCGCCGCGGCGCGGCAGAACCCGCTCGCTCTGAGCCGCGCCAGACCGCCGCGGCGGTTGAGGCCCCCCTCGCACGTCGCGCCCTTTGACCCTGCAACCCATGCGGCGCGAGCCGCGCCCAGGCCCACCCAGCAGACCACAGGCCGGGCCGCTGCATGCACCCCCGCTGACTCCGCGACTCTTGACCCCCCCCCATGCATACTACACGCGCGCTGACAAATCGCACCGTCGACATGCCACTCGACCCCAGGCGATGTGAGGGTGCGGCGCATCCGCGCGGACTGGGTGTCCCCTCTCAGCGTGGAGGGCCTGGAGGTGTTGGAGGGCCGAACGGACGCGCGCGGCGGCGGCGGCGGCCGGCGGCTGCTGGCCGTCGGCCGCATCTCCACTGCGGGTGCGGCGCAGCAGGGGGGCGAGGGGCATCGGAAAGGCAGCAGATTTACACCCCCCCTGGCGGGGGGCTGTGGGAACGCCGAGGGCATGGCCAGCCCTTGCCCAACACCCGCCGCCTGGCGTCGCTTTGCCAAGTGCCACCCGTGGCCGCTCCAAGCTTTGTCTGCCACGCAACCTTTTGCCAGAGCCGATGCATCGGGTCGTCTTTGGCGGCCGCGTCACCCTGACTGTGGCGGAGCCGTCGATCGATGCAACGCTGGATGATGACGGGCTCACGCCGAGGCGAGCGCTGGGTGTTGCGCGTGCCTGTTGGCTTCCTGCGACCCTTGGTCATGAGCAAAGCTATCGGCTCCGAGGTTGCTGAGAGTGTGTATATGTGTGTGTGTGGGGGGGGGGTGGCGAGCGTGCAAGTGTGCGCGATCTCGTGCGAGTGTGCGACCACGTAAGCCAGGGCAGGCAGCATTTCTGCCCCCCCAACCTGGCTGGCTCGCCCACCACAAAGCCAGCGGCGGTCCCCGCATGACCCCCGCCAACGCGCCCACTGTTCAACAGGCTGCTGAAGTATGCTTATGCGGCGCGGCTGCTGAGCCTCTTATCCCCGCCGCCCGCCGCCACCACCCAGCAGCCACGCAGCAACGGCAGCGCGTCCCCGCGAGACGCCGAAACGTCGCTTTCAGAGGCGCAGGTCGAGCGAGTTGGCGGTGACGCTGCCAGCTTGAGCGTCAGCAGCGGGCCGGCGGCCTTGCTCGAGGCCGGCGGCGACGCGGAGGGCGGCAACAAAGGGGAAGGCGACAGCGGCGCGCCAGAGCAGGGGACCGTCAGCGCGCTACGGCGGCGGCTGTCCCGGGCGAACGCGAGCAGCGGGTTCAGCCTCGAGCTGCGTGGTCCAAGGTTGCACGCGGTGGTGTCCGAGGGGCGGCTGCTGCTGCCTCAGGAGCTCAGGCGAGCGGGGGCTCCAGGGTCATAGGAGTGATCTTGCTTGTTGTGATGGTAGTGTCCTTGGGTCCAGCTGTCTGCGCCTCGTGCGAACCTGAAACTGCCCCCTCAGCGCTCGGTCGTGGGTCGACGTTTGCAACCGCAGCTGGGGGCACTGCTGTTGGCGCACAAGCGCAGACTCTCCTGCTTTCGCCGGATCGACCGACGTGCAGGGAGGCCATCGGGCATCACGTGCACGCGACGATGGCTGTCGGCGCGTCCGAGGTCAGGGAGCTTGCCGACGAGATGGGCGACGACGCGGGCTGGGTCGACGCGTCCGAGGTTGCGGGCTGCTCGCCACACGAAAGCCAGCAGCAGCAGCAGCAGCAGCAGCAGCAGCAGCAGCAGCAGCAGCAGCACCGAGACAAGGCACCAGACGGCGTCGCAGCAGCGGAGGCTCTGCCAGCCGCGGGCCGTCACGCAACGCGGTCAGTGGAGGGCTCTCCTGTGGCGCTGCAGCTTGACAGTGAGCGTTTGATGATGGATGTCAGGGGGTGGGCCCGCCCAGGCGGCGGCCTCTTTGGCACCGCCGGCGACGGGTGGAGCTGCTTGCTGCAGCGGCCGGTGCAGGCGCGCGCGGAGCTGACGCCAGGGCTGGCCCGGTGAGGGGGGGCCTGGGGGATGGGGGGGAGGAGGCCTGTGTCGCCCTTGAAGGCCGGCGCGCCCCTCAGGCTGCAAATTAATCCTGCAGGTTGATCCTGCAGGTTGATCGCGCCAGAGCCGCCGCTGCACCTGGTCCCAGAATGCTTCTAGGGACTGGCCGCTGACCAGGGGCCAGTGCACTGGCGGGGAACTCCCCCCTCCTCCCTCGAACCCCCGTGATAAAGCAGGCCCCCCACCCATCCGTCTAGTGCTTTGCCCTTTTTGACAAAATCCTAACAAACAGTCTATCGTCAGTCATTATATAATACCAGTCAGTATTGATTACCAGTTAGCGCCGATTCGTGAAAGTGAATAGTTGTACCTATCAATTGTTTTACCAACAACAAGTAAATCATGTCATCCTCCCCGCAGGATGACCCTCGCCGAGTTCAACCCGCTCCTGAGTGACGTCATCGCTGTCAAAGACGGCGGCCGCCTTTCGCTCTCCTTCGCGCCGGCCGGCGGCGTGCTGCCCTGCTCTGCGGGCTCTTTGAGGGTCGAGCCGGTCCGCCTGGCGGTCGGCGAGGGGAAGCTTCTCGACCAGATCTCGAGATTACTAAAGCTTGGGGGCCTCCTCGGCGGTCCAGGCGGCGGCGGGCTGGGCGGCCGGCTGTTTGGCGTCGGGGGGCCGCGACAGCTCGAGGCGTGGATGGGGCTGACGGAGGTGGAGGTCGGGGCCGACGGCTGCTGCAGCACGCGGCGCGTGGACATGCTGCTTGGTGGGTGCACTGGAGTGTGCGCGTGGGCGCGCGCACATGCGTGATTTGTGTGTGTGTTTGTGTGTGCGTGCGTGCGTGTGTGCGTGTGTGTGTGTGTGTGTGGGTGTGTGTGTGTGTGTGTGTGTGTGCGCGTGCGTACTTGGTGGAGGGAAGGGGGGCTCGGGGGAGACGCGGGCTCGTTGCTGGCTGCGGTTCAATTCACAGGCGAGGCACGCTCGACGGGGCTGAGCCACTGCCTGCTCGCCAAACGGCGCCACGTCAATGGCTGCAGGGCCCCCACACTCACTAGATGGTTGGCCGCCCTTCGCCGGCTGCGCCAGCAGCCTGCCGGGCGACCTTTGGCTGATGCCTTTGCCGCCCTCCCGCCCAGGCGGCCGCGTGCGCGTCAGCGTCTGGGGCTCGGTGGACACGACGACAGAGGCCATGTCGATGCGCATCGGACTGCCAGCCCAGACCCTCGCGCTCGCGGGGATCCGCGGACTGCCGCCGGACTACGTCCTGCCCTTGGAGCTCCGCGGCTCGATCTATTCGCCCGAGCTGGACTGGCAGGCGGCAGTCCGGAAGGTGGCGGTGCTCACAGCGATGCAGTTGGGCCGCGGACTCGTGGTTGGCGGCGGCGCTGGCAGCGGCGGCGGCGCAGAGGGGCCGCAGGGCGGGGCGGCGGCCGCGGTTGCGGGCGCGAGCGGTTGGGGCAGGGCGCCGCTCGCCAGCATGGGCACCGCGATGCGCCAGATGTCTCAGACGTTCCTGCAGCAGTGCATGCAGGTGAGCGGCCGGGCGGATGGGTACCGTATCATGTGTTTTGGATGCGGGGGCCTTTGGAGTGCGCGCGTTGCCCCAACATGTGGGTGGCAATGTCGCACCTTGAGCTGCCTGACGCAGACGGGGAAGCTCCATCTGTTTTTAGTCGGGGGTGGCGTTATCTCAGCTTTTGAGCAATCCTGCGCGGCTTACAAAAGCTGTGACAATTCATGTTTGGATCGCCATCGCACAACTGCTCATCCAAAGCCTGGCAACATGCAAGGCGCCATCAACTGCAGCAACCTCAACCTCCGTCAACTGCATCAACTCCAACCGCTGACAACTGCAGCAACTCAATTGTCAGCCACTTCTCCAGCCTCCATCTCACAACTTCATCTCACAACTCAAACAATCACTCACACCCACACATGCGCGCGCGCAGGTTGACAGGCACGTGCAGAAGGAACTGATGGGAGTGGCGCCGCCCGCGCCCGTCGGGCCCGCGCCGTGGGACGCCGACGTCGACATGCCCCCTTCCAGTGCCACGGACGGCGCGAACGACGGGGCCACCTGCTGAGCCAGCCCGGCCGCCTAGGGCGCCCGCCTGCTTCCCTCCTGCGGATGCCCTTGATCCTCCCATTGCACAAACAACCACAGCCAGGCCCTCTTTACATACCACCCAAACCCTACGACCGTGCTGCACACCAGCAATACAGTCTCAGTCCTGCCCTTGGTGGCATTATTGGAGAAGGAGTCGATTTGGGGTGATTTGCAATTTACTCCAGTCTGAATAGAAGTTGCCTGCGCCACACCTGCCTACCCATCAATAGGGTGCCACGGCATTGTTAGCCATCTGCTGTTGACAATTTGACACTTTTTGACAGAGCACTTCACTCATTCACAGTTTGTTTGCCCCTCCATCGCTTAGGCTTAGGGTCGTGCTATTGTTTGCACCTTAGTTGACTACTGTTTTGCAGCCCCGTCACTCATTGGCGGCATGTGTGTTGGCGATTGGATTTTCTGAGGGGCTTTGCAGTGCAGGCGGGGCAGTATACACACACGCAGTGAGCCACCCTCGTTTTTTCAAAGCACTGACATGTTAGAGCACAGGCACTCCCGTTCTTTGCAAATTTGACCGGGCTGGGATTTACTCGTGTAAAAGAGGAGGTTGGAATCCCCTCCTGAATTTTGTAACAATGGAAGGATCTCGGGCTTATCCTGGCATTGAATGGGGCCAGGCGTTCAGCGCTATGACTGCTTAGCTTTGGACAGGGTGTTTTGGTCTGCTGACCGATGCTGCATGAGGCAAGGGCTGCGTACCGCAGGCCAGCACAGCAAGTGCCAGCCTCGTTCCATTATTGCAGTTTTGGCCCGAACGCCAGTCGCCAAGCAGTCTATCCCCCAACTCTTGACTGCAGGCAGCCTCTGTCTGTGGTGGTTGAGCACCCAACCCCTCAGCTTTGATGTCACAGGCTCTTTGTCTCAAAAATGATTTTGCAGGAGGCAGCATCAAGACCTGGGACAACAAACATCACAAAACAGTCATTTACAGGTGTTGTCATGTTTGCAATTGAGTGGCTGCTGCTCGCACGACAAGGCTGCAGCATGGGTAGGTGCCCTCAAGGCAGGCAAAGCGCCCAAAAGCTGCAGTTGCCGGCAGGAGTGCCAGAACGCGGGAACGCGGCAGCGCCGACAGCGGGGCTGTACAATTGAGGGGCGCGCAGCGCAGGCGGCGCGCAACCAAGGCTGGCTGGCCTGTGGGCGCGGCTGGGGCGTGGGCCCGACAGCCGCACGGCCGTGCGCAGCAACAAAAGGCACCAACAAAAGGGTGAGGGCAGGGTTGTAGAAAGGCGGGCGGCAGGGGTTCATTTTGAAATGCGCCACTCTGCTGCGGGCAAGTGAGCTGGGGAGAGCGCGTGCGCCACCGCCGCTGGTGCAAAAGAGTGGTCTTCAAAAGGTCGTGGGCGCACTCGTGCGCCTTTGCTGCATTTATGATTGAGCAACGCTGCCGCGTGCCTGGTCCAGCGACAGCCCCGGTCCTACGCAATGGCAGGCCCGTGGGGTGCAGCCTGCACGGGCGACGAGGCGCGTGCATGCGCAAGAAGGTGCGCTGCCGTCGTGGGCCGCGGGCCCCACACGCTGCTGCCCGGCAAAGGGCTCGCGGCACGATGGGCCTCGCGGGCTTGCTGGGGCATGCCGTATCTCACGCCCACATGCGCCGGCGGTGAGCCCGCGACACGTCAGCGGGTTGCAGCGCTGTGCGCGGCCACGCCGCGCTCATGGCAGCGGCGATGCAAGAAGCGTTTTCGTCGAGTGCGCCAACGTGTTCAATTGGTAAGAGAGACTGGAAAGCAACGGCAGCCGCACGCGCCGCGGCTCGGCGCTCTGTGCAGCGCCGCCTGCACCCCTGCTGCCGCACCAGCCTGCCCCGATTCGTAGCAGCATCGGACTCTGGCATTTCCACATGAAAAGCCTCTTCGCGCACAACGCCTGTGCTCAACATTGCCTGCAAGCAGACGCCAGGATTGGCGCCTATGGCCCCTCCCCAGCCAATCCGGCTGCGGGCCTACGGCGGCAGATGCAGCCGCGGCCCGAGCCGCGACAAATGGCGGAGGGGGTTGCTTGTGCGGCGGCGCCTCGCCCTCTCCAGCGCGCCTCTCAAGGCGACGCTTACGCCGCCTCGTCGTCCCCGCCGAGCCTGCAGCCGAACGCCGCCAGCAGCCTGCCGAACGCCGACGTCGGCTTCTTGGGCCCGCGCTGCGCGCCCTCGGCCGCGGCCGTGGCGGAGGCCCCGGCCTTGGCGCCAGCGCCCTGCTTGTTGCTGAGGGACGCGCAGTGCACGGCGGCGTCAAAGGCATTTATCCCCTGGAGCTGCAGCTTGTCGCCTGGGGCGGCAGAGGGTGGCAGGGTGCGGCCGTCATGGGGGGTGCGTGGGGTGTGTGTTTTCAAGGGGGTGGCGGGGTGCGTCGGTCATGGAGGGAGCGTGGTGTGTTTTTCCCAGGCGTGGCATGGGGCACAGGGGGGGATGACGGGGTTCATTGGTTATGCAGGGCAGATGGTGCAGGTGGGAAGGCGTAAGAGTGGGATCGCTACAACCAGCCGCATCGTCGGCCCCTGGTTCCTGCCACCGAACACCCGTGCGCACGCCGTCTGGAGGGTTCGGGGCCTAGCTGACCCTTTGCAAGCCGCTTCGCCTGTCGGAAGCCCTCCAGATTCGTCCCACACATGCGCATGTGGCGCAGAGCCAACAAAACACCCACAGCAACATTTGCAGAATGTACACCACACACAGCAGGATGCCTGGGGCCAATATCAACAACACGGCAGCAGCATTTGCACGAAACACACCTCTAAGCGGTGCAGCAGTCAAGCCACTTCATGCATACACCAGGCAGGCGCTGCCCGCGCGACGCACCCGTCCCTGGCGCCCTGCAGTGGAAGATGACGTCAAACTCGATCGTCTCTGGCAGCTGCAGGAGGCTGCGGATCTGGCGCTCAAACGCGGCGGCGCCCTCTGGGCCGGGCTGCACCTGCACCTTGTACGTTTTCCCGTTGAAAGACACCCGCATGTAGGGGGTGACCACCTGGCGGGGTGACGCGACGGGGTGTGTGTTGTGTTGTTGTGTGTCTTGCGTGAGTTGTGTGTGTTGTTGTGTTGTGTGTGTGCTGTGTGTGTGCGTGTGTGTGCGTGTGTGTGCGTGTGCGCATGCGCATGCGTGCGTGCGTGCGTGTGTGCGTGTGTGTGCACAACACCCTGAAACCCTGAATTTGAGGGCGACATGATTTGAAACTGCGACTGAGACAGGCCCGGTTAGTGTCGAGGATACTTTTTGGCATGTGCCTGCCAACTTTTGCAGCTTGGTGTCGGGCTAGCCAGTCGGATAGGCGCCACATGTGACTGCCCAATGGCTATCTCTATTCAGTGGAGATTGACAAGAGCCGCGTCGCAGCACAGCGCCCGCCACAAGGCACCCGCCCCGCCCCACAATGTGTGGCTGCGGCGGCGTCCCTTGCAAACGCTGCGCTGCAGCCCTTCGCATTGCCTCCAACCCACCCGCCAAATCAGACGCACAGTAACGCTGAATATCGAGCATCCTCGGTGCGCATGAACGGATCAATGTTCCCACGCCGCCCCCCCCCCCCAAATCGTACTGCTCGTGCAACCACAATCTGCGCAGCAGCCACCCGGCATCACCTTGGCCCCTGTGACCTCAGTCATTACGGGCTTCCAGTCCCGCAGCTCGGTGTGACAAAACCTGCAGACCCGCTCCTCGCTGCAAGGG